TCTGATTAGTCGACTAATCGCAAAAATAATCATTGACTAGTCGACTATCAGAATAATCGTTTGTGGCAGCCCTAGTGTGTAAGGCCATATATTACAGACTTCCATAATTGGGCTTATATATACTGCGATGTTTATAGTAACCGTTATGACTGCATTTCTAGTTATAAGGTTTGGGTGGAAATGATCTCTTCACACAGGGACAGGTCGATCTGAATACCTTTTTAACCTTAATAAACAAAATCTTTGTTTATTTGACCTTATTTGGCCCTGAAGAAGAGTTCTGAGATCGAAAAACCTCAAATATAATAACCTATATGTGGCAATACAAACAACTGTAGCAAACAGCATAGTTTTGTCATTTTGACTTTCAGATTAATCTATTGATCTTGAAGGCGAGGTCAGAGATCAATATTTTAAATATTTATGCAGGACTTTCTATGTGTTATATTTTCTACTTGTGAGAATCACAGTTTATATGTTCTAAGGCTTTTTGTCACTTTTTGAACAAGAAATCATGAAGTTTACCTTAAAAGATATCGGTGCATGTAAGCCAAATTTTTATTGATCGTTAACATGACCCCACAGTTTTTATCAGAATTCACACAAACATTTTCAAACTATCATGAAGACAGACAGAAGGTCGAAGGCGCGCACAAACACTAGCAAAAACAAAACCTCCTTGGCGGAGGGATTAAGGGGAAAGGGCTTTGTCACAGCACTATGAATGTCAGAAGAAATATCAATGTTTCCATTTGTTCAGTAAATAACACAGAGACAAGAAGGTTACTCACCAAAGGCCTCCTTTGATTCTGACAGACGCTCTTCATCAGTTGAATCTATCACATAGATGACTCCATGGGATTCAGCGTAGTACTAGATACAACCATGAAGAGGAAAACACGTCACAACATGTATATATACATATATACATATACATATATATATACATATATACATATACACATATACATAAACACATACATATACAGATAAACACATACATATACACATAAACACATACATATACATATATA